CATTGATACACGTTTTCTAGACACGTTTCGTCGACACTAACGTTTCACCGTTACTCGTTACGCGAAATACACGCTGTATGGACATTTCGTCGTGCGTGTGTCTCTGAGGCGCGTGCTCACCGACCCAGCCCATCCGTTCACGTCGCTTCGTGGCGAGAGTATGTGGCGGCTCATTAAAAAAAATGTTCACGCTACCTGTGATACCCGTATATATCACCTCGCGCACATAGTCTGGGGCGGCTCATTACAAAAAAAAAAGAAAAAAGAAAAGAAGATTTTTATAGAGGAAAGCTAACCTGAGCTGTCGATGACACATCGTTCGATGAAGTGATTATATCGCCAATGAGTGACGACTGCCGGCACGATTTCGGGTAAATAATTCTGCCGGCTGCTGAGAGAATAGACACTACCTAAGAATCACCCCGGTTCTCGTTCGCTCAGTAATCTCCTCAGTTGTGTAACAGCTTCGTTGTACATCTTCACATATCACAGATCGCTTGCACGTCTGTACTTGTTTATGGAATAGGCTGTCTAATAAACTTATAAAAGATTTGAAAACAATCCGTTGTGTCTGTTTACCTGCCTTTTTGCAACCACCTGGGCGCGTACATTTTTTACAGGTTTCCTTGAGGTGGGTACACAAAGAGGTGTTATGGTACATCATTGAATGAAGTGTATATATGTTCCATATGAGCGGGGTGGGTGTAAAAAACGGTGTAATAGTAAACCCTGTTGGCGGGTGTATCTCCGTTCCCTATGAGTGGGGTGGGTGTAAACAACGGTGTAATAGCAAACCCGGTCGGTGGGTGTAGAGAAGGGAATACTTATACACCTTAAATTGGGGTGTACCTGCACACCGAAACGACAGTGAGGGTGTAAGAAAGGAGTAGTGACACACCCTAGTATGGGGTGTATCTGTGCACCCCCGAATGCTAAAGGTGTATATAAGGGTGCACATATGCACCCCTAAAGAGGGTGTATATATGCACCTCGTTTAGAGGTGTACCTGTACACCTTTATGGGTGTAGTATATGTGGCAGCACTTACACCCCCTGTGGGTGTACCCACTACACCCTTTTTTTTTTAGTGTGTATAGGTACACGCTTTGCGATCCCGGCTAGAGGTCTGCGCGGGACCATATTTAGGAGTCCGGCCCAGCCCGGGCTACTGTCTCTTGGGCCCGGGCTCGCCTGCGGCCTTCACCTTTAGAAAAAAAGGGGTGTAAATAGTCCTCCTGAGGGGAGGAACGGTCTTGTAACCTATGTTCCTTCAGAAAGGGAGAAACTTTCGTCCCTGAAGCAGGGGTGCAAATAGTTCCTCCGTCGCCTGCTTCTTATTATAATGGCCCTGAAACGAGCAAATCGAGCTCAATAAGGCTTAACGAGGACGCTGCATCTCTTGTACGGGACGAGAGGAGCAGCAAATAAAAGCGGAACACGAACTTTCCGCGAACTGTGTTTATTTCCGAAGCCAGATTAACCCCGCAGGTACAGGAACTTGCGTTTCGAAGGCTGTTACTCAGCCTTCTCGTCATCAGCACTGCGATGTTAAACGAAGACAACCGACACCCAGTTGCTTCGCGCACTTTACGTCTTACCTTTGCTATTCCTCGAGTCACGTAATTCCTTCATCAACCGCACATCACGGAGGCATGGCGAACCAATCCGCGAAACCAAAAGCCGCCCTCAAAAGAATAAAATCGAAGCCGCTGGTTATCGCGTAGCGTGAAAAAATGTTAAATCGCTTGCCACCAGATGGCAGGGTCAAGCAGAGTAATTGCAAGTAGCTAGGCTAGGTGGCGCTAAGTACCGCCCAAGCCATGTTCTACATAAAATATTTCTATTTACTCAGGCCATTATTGCGCTTCGGGGTCCTCTACAATACACACCTGTCGACACATTACGCATACTACAAGCATCAGCTGAACATACATTGAGCGCATACACGGCACATACAAACATCAATGCAACGGTACACTAACCCGAAGACTACACCCGAGTTTGCGTTTCCGTCTTTTATACTGGTCGTTTTGAACGTACGGAATTTCTCGGTGACTGCCTAAGCAATAAAATATATTCCCAGCACTTTGATTTTTTTTTCCAGTAATGTCATACCACTGGGAGTATTTTATTTAAATGGTTCAGGCGATGAATCTCTTATTAAAAAGTAAACGCTCGATCATACCGCAATTATGTGAAAGCCAATAAATCAAGCCGCTCCAATGCGGTTCGAAGTCATCAGTTTGCTTCCCCGCACGGCACGTCGTAGCCTGTATTTCTATAGTAGTGTTTGTTTTTCTATTTGTGCTGTTCGCGCACGGCTCCAATTGCCGTCTTGAATTAATCTCTGTAGAGCGGATAACCACTCAGCTGGAAGTGATGCTTCACGCGCAGAGAAATCGCTTTTCGATCAACTTGAATGCAGTCAAAACCGCGACATGCGGCAGATGTTAAGTGTACGGAGCTACGCCGTGGCGAGCTCGAAAACGTTTAGCGTTCATCCTAGCGCGCCACTTGGAGGCAATTTCTCCAGAAACCATAGTATATTAAAAAAAGCAAAATCAAGCGTAACTTTTTTTTTTTTCGATTTTACCTACTATTTTTTTTAATGCTAAAATTCCACACAGTTAATATACGTAGTTTCCGTCATACTTTTGTACTGTTCAGTACTTTCCCCAGAGCGCAATCGCTCTCGAAAAATAGACAACCGACAGTCACATTGGCCACTGTACGATAGGAGCTTACTGTTCAGACCAGCGTTCCAACATGACTAACCGCACGTCGATCGGTTAGTCATCAAGTGGTCCTAAACCCTTTAATGTAAAGCGCAATGTCAACCTGCTATACCCCGCCCATCCGATCACGGCCCGACCTGCGCCATCAATGCCCGACAGTTTACGTTATCTCATCTTGTTGTCACATCACTGATACGCGAACACACGGTCACATCGGCGATAATTCCAGTCTTCTGTTCACAACGCACAACACTGCCAAAACGATGTTGCTGCTATGTTGCTGATACGCAGAGATATAGAACCACGTTAAATGCCGGTGGGCACCCGGCACCGGAAAGCACGGAAGGCACTCAGGCTGCCGGCAGCAAAACCTGCCTGTCTTGGACGCAGTTCCTGCGATTTCCATAACGTCTAAAACGTTGACACAATTCCGCGTGGTTCCGCTACTGTAGTTCTGCGTGGGCACCCTACACAGTAAACTTTTTTACACCCTTAAGGGTGTTTTTGAGTGTCTATAACTCACACCCCTACACCCTCACAAAAAGGTGCACAGTAAACTTTCTACACCCTTAAGGGTGGTTTTGAGTGTCTATAACTCACACCCCTACACCCTCACAAAAAGGTGTGTTGGACTCTTGGGCACCTTTTTGAGGCGTCTTCTTGTCACCATTACACCCTTGCACCCTCAGAAACACGAGTAAGGGTGTAAGGGTGTCACATGCACATTACAGGCACCACATATGCATGCACTGAGAAAAAAAGTCACATTAACTTGGCTGTATACAGCCAAGTTAGTCTGGCTTTTTTTTCAGTGCATGTGCGCTGCTTATGATGTGCATGGGCTGTATACAGCCAAGTTAATCTGACTACATGTTCATACCTTTAGAGACATTCCATAACATCCAATGTCTGGCCGTATGATGTTTATGTTACTTGTAACGTTTACAGTGCCACAATACTAAAACATGCTTGTGCTGTTGCAAACCTTCGAAAACACTACATGTATTCTTGCTTAACTAAGTGGTTGCCTCATGCATGCATCCACTAATGAATAAAGACAAAAAAGGTGTATATGAAAGTTGAATACTCTTTTAATTTGTGCGTCTTGCATATACAACCTTTCAGTATGTTAAAACTCCCAGCGTCGACTGTTTGTAGCTTATCACGCGTAGCTTCCTCGGCGTATACAAGCACGAGCTCATTCAATGTCAATGCTCCCTAAAGAGCATGGTGTGCGCGCTCGCGCCAGAGGGACAATATAGGGTGGATGATTTTAATGCGTACAGATGTAAAAAGGATGACCAGTATACACGAGTAACATCTTCACTTTATGTGTATCGGGCTCAACGGGCATCAGATCGCATGATAATTAATAACCTGTAGACTAATTATCTTAAACTTTCGGGGTTTCATTTAACAATTTTATGCATTTTGTATTTATTGCAGCGTTGAGAGCAATTAAAGTTAGAGACTAACCTAATCTGAAGATTTTGAATGAATGCAAAGTGCTTTGCAATATCAAGAGATCAGTTTCCGCGTTTTTGACACGCAATTCCGAAGCTATAAACTAAAACGCCACAAGCCCTCTAGATTGTGCATAAAATGTGACATACACTTTTCTGGTACCCTGTTACTCTCTCGGCAGTATGTCATCGGCATATCCACCAAAGATGCGCTGGCCAGTTAAATACGAAGAAACCGAAACGACTATGTCACCCCTCATAGGCATCATTGAGGACAGAGCTCCCTTGCTGTGTATTTACTTTTAGAATCGCGCGACAAAATCAGAAAACTGATCTATTAATATATCAAAACTCTTGCCTTTATGCAAATTGTTTAAATTGATTTTGGCTCTGACATTGACTGCCGTTAAAACCTGCAGCTGCAATATGACCTACGAAAGTGTTAAATTAATTCGCACGTTTAGGTTAATTAGCCCACTGATCAAGACTGTAATCCTCTAATACAATGTCTGCCGAGCGCGATACCCGAGCAGCTTGGAGTATACCAGGTATTTCAGCGAAAACTGAAAAAATTCCTAAAATGTGTGTATTCGAAGTATAAAGATCATATTCTCGGGACTGCATTACTCGTGGTGGCGGACGTCAGAAATGCGCGATACCTAACAAATTAGGTTGTTAATTATTAAAAAAAACGAATTAACATTTTCATTAGTAAAAAGACATATGGTTCCAATCAGAAACTTGCTGAGCGTCATCAAAAAGCACAAAATTCGTAATTTTCAGAAAGGCTTTGAACGCGTGAAAAGCGTAGTGGTGCGCTGAAGTTACCACTCGTGCAGCAGATAGCGGTCTGATAAGGCGCCCGAGCGATTCTTCCGTCTCTTCTCAGAGCCCTAGCCTTGTATCTGTTCCACGAGTGGTAACTTTAGCATACTACGCTTCCTACGTCCTGAATATTTCTGAAAATTACTGATTAAGTGGTTTTCGATGACGCTCAGCAAGGTTCTAGTTCGAGCCATATGTTTATTTTCACTTAATATGAAGTTAATTAGTTATATGTGATGAAGTACCGCACTAACTAGTAAGTATCGCACATTTTCTGACGTCTGCCACCAAGAGTAATGCTGTCCCGAGAAAATTACTTTTACCTTGATTACACTAATTTTAGGAATTTTTGTCAGTCTTTGCTGAAACACCCGTTATATGTACCGGTTACCCAATCTTTAAAGGCCCAGGAGCGTTGGGCGATGCTCCTGGGCCTTGAAATCGAAACCCCTTAAAATAGGTGTTCCAAAACACAAGAAATATTAAATGCTTTTCTGTTGTACTTTGAATTAAACATCCCCTGGGCGGTCATGATTGCTGTGGTCCCTTCCACTGCATCTATGACGCGCAACAGTCGACTTTTCTCGATGTAGAGGAAGAGCGCTTCGGCCCCTTTGAAACTCGGGCCCGAAAATACGATGCAAGGGGTAAGTGGTTTCTTCGCCTCCTAAAAAGAAACGAAACACAGCATTCTAGATATACAGTTCGCAGTCACCATGGTGTACACCTGTATATCTATCTATAAAGGCAGAATTTTCTAGCTGACTCAAGTTCTTTTGTTATGTGATCAACACACGTCGGCCACATAAAGGAGCTCTGACTAGTACTCAATACTTAAATATCGGCTGTTATTTTCTGCTGAGATGAGTGAATGCTTTCTGTTTGCTTTCATATAGGTATGTTTGTTGAAAAATAATTGCAGTTCTAATATGATGAAGTATCTATGCTGAAATCCCAATTATTAAAATATATTCGCATTTTAAAATATTATTTTGGTTCACAGTAAATGACTGTTAGACATCTGATTTCCTGTTAGAAATATTTCATTTATAAGCCTGTAGGTTTCTTTTTTGCTGCAAAAACTGTGAGATATTCTTGATGATGGTAAAAATGGCCTTTGCATGGGGTGCCACTAGACCTACCAATGTCAAAAAGGATTTTCAGTAGTTACACCACAATCAAGCAACATTAAAGTGAGTTTTTTTTTTCCTTTTTTATGTTATCATGGGAAGTCTAGGAATCTGGAAACTGCATGGGGGCCTTACACATATTTACAATTTGGTTCTAATGACCGAAGTACATTACCACTTATATATAATTTTGTTCAACGCATACAATGTTCTAGAATGAGGGCTTTTAAGTGAAAGCTTACCGAAGGCAAAGACATCTGTGAGTTGCACTATAGGCTGCTTAAGTACTCTTGCCAGGAGTTCCAGGGCACGTACGGCCTGAACGTCTGCAACAGAAACGCATAGTAAAACTGAGTCACATGTTACTCGTGCTAAATTAGAAACAAATACATTGCACGTCTTCATTCGAAACACGATAATGAAGGAGAGCAAGGTTTTAAAAAGCCCATGGCATGCAAGTGAAACCGACGGATTCATCATTATTGTAAGAGTGCATTTTTTAATGAATGACCTTAAAAATAAGACTTCTTTTCCTCAAACATTCCTAAAGACAGTTGCAGGCGTGGCATCCAGCTGGTGCCCCATGAGTGCAAGCGCATCCAGGGTGTGAGTGAAAGTAACTGAGACAGGCATCTAATTGCAAAACCTGCTCACATGTGCAGACATGGTGGTGACTAAGTGCCTTGCTTGCAACTATTTATGGGGAATCACTTCCTTCGCTTTGACTAATGTACGTATAGGTTGAGAAAGGTACAAATTCTTACATCTGCTCTAAAAGATAAGCAAATGTGTTCGACGAAGACAGGCAGTGCTGTCCTTCAGAAATGACAATCTGTAAAACACTGAGCAAGCGTCCATTTAATATTCGGTGATTTTCTTGAACAGGTGGATATGCATTTGTTAGTACATGACATGGCGGGCTTCAACCACTTTGCAGCGACGTGTTTGGAAAAGCTGATAACACAAAGTAGCGTCTTATGTACTTAGCTTCGAAACATTTCAGATCTAGCTGGTGGGCGCTTATTGTGAAATGAATGCATGCTTGATGCTCCATAGTACGTTTAAGATTCAAGAACTTAACAAGGTGACTTCGATATTATACATTTTTGTAAACAAAATATACCTTCCAGGTACGCTTCATCCAAACATTTATATGCTGGATAAATTATTGTGCCAAAATATGAAATATTTTTAAATTAAGTGATCTCTTCTTTCTGTCCTCTCAGCTTTTTCTTTTTTTTTAAATTGAAGTACTTACATTTACACTTAGCTTGCACCATTCGAGAAATGCGTGTGTAGCAGCACCTGTGATGTAGGTCAATGGACATTACTCGCAGACTGTTATAAAACATTGCTTGGTCTTAGTTATTTTGAAGCAGCAGTGAAATTAACTGGATACATAGAAACCAGAACAAGCATGTCGAATGACTTTAACGGAAGAGGTACCTTCATTCAAAACTTTCCCTTGGAACAAATTTAAGTCCTGAATCCAGGAAAGCATTTCCCGTGACAGAATTATCCTGCACTATTCGCAAATCTTTAAATACATACCTGCTCTTTGCACACAACACTCCTATTTTATGTAAATAAAAAAAAACTGCTTAGCACTTCCTTCTGTGTCTAAGGGAACGATTAGTCCGCATTGCACATAAAAAAAAGTTATATTAACTGCAATCATTTGTACCGTAGCACTGCTGTGTTTTGTGTGACTATTCAGATTAAATCGATGGCCCACTATTTAATTTAAACAATATGTAAATTAAACTGCACCCATTCAATTTGCACAGTAATTTACACTATACAAGCTAACGGTAAAATAGGCAACATTTTAAAAAAGTGCACAATAAAAACTGATGAGAAAAAATGAAAGCCGCTTACAACTCCCTGTAACGCCGAATTAGAGCGCAGCTCTTGAGGAGGAGGAGGGAAGGGCACTGGGGGGGGGGGTTAAACTAACCAGGGGGGGGTCACGTTACCTTGGGGGTCACGTGACCCCCAATGCCGATGATGTCATCACTGACGTCACTGATGACGTCATCAGTGACGATGACGATGCGGGTACCGATGACGTCATTAGTGACGTCACTGATGACTTCACCAGTGATGATGACGATGACGATGCGAATGTAGGTGACGTCATCAGTGACGTCGCTGATGACGTCATCAGTGATGATGACGATGACGATGCGGATGCCGGTGACGACATCAGTGACGTCACTGATGACGTCATCAGTGATGATGACGATAACAATGCGGATTCCGGTGACGTCATCAGTGATGATGACGATGACGATGTGGATGCCGGTGACGTCATCAGTGATGATGACGATGACGATGTGGATGCCGGTGACGTCATCAGTGATGATGACGATGACGATGTGGATGCCGGTGACGTCATCAGTGATGATGACGATGACGATGCGGATGCCGGTGACGTCATCAGTGATGATGACGATGACGATGTGGATGCCGGTGACGTCATCGGTGATGATGACGATGACGATGTGGATGCCGGTGACGTCATCAGTGATGATGACGATGACGATGCGGATGCCGGTGACGTCATCAGTTATGACGATGACGATGTGGATGCCGGTGACGTCATCAGTGATGATGACGATGACGATGTGGATGCCGGTGACGTCATCAGTGATGATGACGATGACGATGTGGATGCCGGTGACGTCATCAGTGACGATGACGTCATCGGGGGGTCACGCGACATCGGCGGGGGTCACGTGACCTCGAGGAGGGGGCCACGTGACTTCGGGGGGTCACGTGACCCCCCACGAGGTCACGTGACCTTGGTGGGGGGCTCGCGCGGTGCATTATGGGACATTTCCCATGATGCACCGCGCGGTTACGCCGACGGCGACGGCGACGGCGACGGCGACGGCGACGGCGACGCCGACGCCGACGGCGACGCCGCTCAAGCCGGAAACGGGCCCCTAAGAGCTGCGCTCTAAAAAAAGTGAAAGCCGTTTACAAACCCCTGTAACGCCGAATTGGAGCGCAGCTCTTGAGGAGGAGGAGTGAAGGGTACTGAGGGGAGGGTAGACCCCTCCTCCTTCTCCTCCTCCTCCCCTCATTCTTTAATATGCTCCGGGGGGGGGGGGGGTCACGTGACCTGGGGGGGGGGGGTGTCACGTGGCTTCGGGGAGGGGGGTCACGTGACCTCGGGGAGGCGTGACCTGGGGGTTACGTGACCTTGGGCGTCACATGGGGGTCACCTCAAGGCCACGTGACCCCCAAGGTGACCCCCACGTGACCTCAGGGGGTCACGTGACCTTGGGGTTCACGTGACCTCGGGGGGTCACGTGACCGCAGAGGGGTCACTTGACCTCAGAGGGGTCACGTGACCTGGGGGGGTCACGTGGGGACCTTGGGGTCACGTGACCTTGAGATGACCTTGGGAGCGGTCCCGTGACCTCGGGGGTCACGTGACCTTGGGGAGGAGACCACGTGACCTCGGGGGTCACGTGACCTCAGAGGGGTCACGTGACCTTGGGGGTCACGTGACCTTCAAAGGGTCACGTGGGGTCTTGGGGTCACGTGACCTTGAGATCTTGGGAGGGGTCACGTGACCTCGAGGGGTCACGTGACCTTGGGGGTCACGTGATCCCAAGATGACCCCACGTGACCCCCAAGGTCACGTGACGGGGGTCACGTGGGGTCACGTGACCTTGAGATGACCTTGGGAGGGGTCACGTGACCTTGGGGCCACGTGACCTTGGGATGACCTTGGTTACGCCGACGGCGACGCCGCTCAAGCCGGGAACGGGCCCCTAAGAGCTGCGCTCTAAAACTGTGTGTTGAAAATAGTACCCCAACAGATGGTGCGTTCTACAAAAACACACATCTGTTAACCTTAAGAGAAAAGAAATCCAACAGAGAAGGCACATCGTGTCAACACTAATCTGAACATCTGCGCATTTTTAAACATACATGGTAACATACCATCCTTCTGTTGGTATATGTTATGCTCAAAGCGGTATAGTACTGCTTTGAGCAGATCATACGTATGCCCTTTATTCCTATACCCGAATCATCACTTACGTTTCTTGCGTCTTGCACCGGTTCCTGGCGGGTCAATTTCAAGTAAAGGCTTCAGGTCTTTTTTGGAGCCCCCTTGGTCTCTTCTTAGAGCAAGTTTCACAATCTTATGGAACGCCGCCTCGACCGCTTCATTCCCATCTTTCTTCAGAAGTTGCTTGAAATCCTCAAGCAACTGAAACATTGTGAGCGTTTGAATAAAACCCATGCATTTGTAAGAACAGTGAAATTCTTAATGTTTTTTTTCACCTCGTTATTAAATATCTTTTATTAGCCTACTAACACATTTGAAGCATTCTGTCGTGTCGCACAACTACTGTAGAATCCTGTACGTCGTGCCCTCAATTGTTTTACAAATGCGATGACAGACATAATCATGACCACTAACCTATGAGTATAAAAGTTGGAATTTGAAAATTAGACTGAAGACATGCATGTACCTTCAAATTACGCAAATTATTGGCTTCGTGAATATTTCGGCAATATGGACCTTGCGAACGTTAGAGATACTGCAACGAAATTTCGGCGCGTATTTTATGGTCTATATGTGTTCAAAGGAGCAGTATCACATCGAACACACCAATATCTTGTTAAAAAAGTCACGAAAAGGAAATTTGAAACGAATTAAACGATTTGCAAAGAGCACCTGGTGGACGTCGCTAACGCCTCGTTTGTAATGCCCGTCCAGGATCCTTGACAGCTAGTGACGGAGGTTGTCTCCCCTCCGGCCACGACGAGAGAAGAGGTGAAGGAAGAACTCCCGTCTTCCCGGGAATTACTTTTGTGTGTTCCAGATGTAGCTATTGTCCCCTCACAAGATTATAAAAGATTAACCTGTCACTCAAAATTCGTACAAAAGCAGCCGCTTCGGTGGCGGGGATGACTAGGCCATCCCCTCGACGTCAGCCTCGCCGCAGCTTTGCTCGTCCCGAGACGACCTACGTCACGATTGCGTCGGATGTCACATGCTCTAAGCTGGGCCTTCTCCGAGCGCTTGCTAGAGTGGGCCGTTTATAACAAAAATACAGCCACCGGGCTCAAAATACAAATGTGCAATTGTCATTTACGGATATTGTGGATCATATTGAACTTATTTTTGAACACGATGGATATATTTCAAATTTCGTTGAAGTATCCCTTTAAAGGTTGCACTGTACTGCTGAAGTAGATCGCTAATAGATATAATGCAGCTCCGAAATGTAAAAATGATCAACCTTGGTTTAGGCTAGTTACTTAAGGTAATATTAAAGGCAGAAACGTCATAATTAAAATGGTGTTTGACTGAACAAATTATGCAAAACATTAATTCTGAGAAGTAATTTCGTAGTATGCCATAAACCGTTAAGCGACAGCTTGAGCCCATATTAACCTAAAAGGAATTTGCTGAAGCACTATGTGCCCCTGATTTAAAGTTTTCACAAATGTTTTATGAACAAAAAGATAGGACGCAAACTAGCTGGTGATGGTTGAACATAAATTAGGACAAAACTGAGAGACTGGGGAAAAAAGAAGGACGACACAACACACAGCCTTGAGTATTGTCATCCTTGTTGTTTTTTACAGCTTTGGGGTTAAATTTTACAGTATGTTATGTATGTTAAATTGTTTCAGTGGAAAAAAATGTCTATGTTCTTCAAAGAACAAGTTCGTAAAATTACAGCATCTTACAAACAGAGCAGCTTTGTGTAAGCTGGTTCTCCTAAATAAAGCCCGTCTACAAATTGCGCACAAAAGAAACTACTCACCCATTCAATGTCCCTGAGATATGGATACTTGTCGATAGCTTCAGCAATGGATAACTTGCACAAGTCTTTGACCCTTGCGGAATGCGTCAACTCAGGCCTGCAGCACATTTGCTACCTGTCGGGGTTCGATTTTGTCCCCCCGTGACTAACCAGGCCTCATGCTGTGTGAGACTGTATTCGTCTTCTCCACTGGGAGCCAAGCCTTGGGACTGCATAAGGATTAAACAAGGACGATTATTGTAATTTTATTAAAAAAACACATGTGCGTTACACCAAGCTCTGAATCACCGACCAGTGTTGCGCCAACTTTGCCCCGCTATAACTCCATTGATGCAGCGTCGACAGCCGCCCTTGGTTGTTTCCCACGGCTGCCGAACTTTGGTCGGTTTGCGTACACACGGTCAGTCTCCAGCTTCCGTCTCTCATTTTTGAACTTTTGGCGGATGAGCATGACCCATGAATTCTGGAGTATTAAGATTTATTTATTTATTTATTCAAAATATCTGAAAGGCCTGTCCGGCATTAAATCATCCATAAACTTTACAATGCAGGTAATACTGTAAAAAAAAACTCAAAAAGTGCCAATAGCAAAATATTTTTTATTCAAATTATGAAGTTTACTTTCATCAACATTAACAATAGCCCAGTGCAGCAGCTATGACATTTTCTTCCGAACTTTTTTAATTCCAATAACATTTGCATACAATGAATAAAAAAATTCGCATAGAGCAGTCAACACACTAAATAAACTTACAAGACCCAATGCCCGTTAGTCAGCCATTTGAGCTTTCGAACAATCCTAACAGCCACATTTACAGCAGATAGACTCGGTCCATAGCAAAAAGAAAAAGAGGCAAGATCAGCTATATTCAATGCAAAACACCTTGAACAATGTTTACTATTCAGTCCTTGTAGCAAATGCATTCCTTTACTTGGGTTAGTGCTCTAAACTGGTCTAGATCTTCTAATTAATTTGTTATACTTCATAGCAATCACAGTAGCAAAAGGCCCAGCTACTTGTTCGACTTTTTTTATTTGTTTTCCTATTATGTAACATTATAAAAGCTGAAAACGCGAGACTGGCACATAATCACGACTCCGCAAAACATTACGAAGTATGTACCGTTCGCCATACCTGCTGCAAGGTAACATTTGCCCCGCACATCAAATCAAGAAACACCGTGCCGAGAAACCCATATCGTACCAAGAAACACCATATCAAGAAACACAAAATCTTATGTTCAAAATAAAATTATAGAAATTATATGGCTTGAAGCGAAGGGCTAATAATTGGGCTAGTCAGTAATTCATCGGATGAGGTCGAGAGGGACAAATACACTTCGCTGTGTTTCTGTCCCACTCTTGTCCTCTTTTTTGTGCCGAATTTGCTGTCAAGCAAAGACAACTTAAGAACTGGTGCTGAGCACATTAACCAAATCGTTAAACAGCGACGACGCGAAAGCGATATACAGATTCGAATGGATGCTTAAACTTTGACGCAGAAAAGAAAAAAAAGAAATCTCCGTTTCAGCTTTCCACCGATGAAGTGATTATGCTTCCAGACTGTTTAGTTTCGACAGTTCGCGTGAAAAAAGGCGCCGGCGTAAAAGCGAAAAAGAAAACAGGAGCACTTTCGTCACTCCAAAGTAGTTTTAGCGGTTATGGCTTGATAGAGAAAACCGAAGCCAGCCAGCCGGTATATAACACTCGGAGTCGCTACCACCACATTTAAGCGTTAAACAAGTCGAATACTCTGTAAGCGGTATCAATATTCACTTCCTGGACACCTGGACACATAAAGAATATTCTACAAGCATGCTGCATAAATATTCTCACCTTTAATTGCGTCCACACGTGGAAGTGTCTCCGGTAGCAGTTGCGGCGATTCCAGCAATAACCGAAAGCAGCCATCTTTAATAAGAACGGGGATTGGCTACGACTTACGCCTACCCTTTCTAAAAAGATTTGCTGTAGTTTCGGTTTCGATATCTTGGGTGGGGGCTCGTTTGCATTTTTCTTGCTTCGCGTTTCAACAAATTTGTTTTTAATATATTGTTTTAAGTTAAAGCTTAGTTAAGGTTAAAGCGAAAGCTAAAAGAAGAAACTGTCTGTATGGCTATTCCACTTAAACTTTTAGTTTTACAGAGGTTTCGTTTTTTGGGGGTTTAAATGCTGCATTTTCTTTGTTTAAGTGGGGTAACACTCGTAGCTAAACCGACGCCTTGTTTTGAGGATTTTTTTTACGCTTTCGCCTGCGTGATTTAATAACCATTTCATGTAAGGGATTGTACCAGTCTATATTCAATAATCCAAACGATTTTTATTTTCCGCGATAAAAACGATTTCACAGTGTTGGCAAGTGCCTCAAATCGCTTTGTTTAGTACAAAAAAAAAAATTCATAATAAACAGAGAACCCCAAATTTTTGTGATCTATCTGTTCTCTAAAATATAATAGAGAGATGCTTTTAAATATTATTTAGATCCTATTATCTCTCTGACATTTTCCGATATAAGTACACTGAAGAACAAATCATAAAGGTAAACGCCTGAACATGTAAGCCACACCCGTTGTTTCAGAAACTGTGAGTGCTTTCACAAGGTTCATGTGCACTACCCGAATAGATACATATTTGTGTTATTTTATTGAACCATATTTTTGTTTCGTTAACATATTTAATCGTATTCATTGCTTTAGTTTTTTTTTCTTGTTTCTTTTTTGTATTTCCTAGAACAGCACGCAGTAGAAAAGGTACCTCGAAATATTTGCTCCCAATCATACTGAAATGCTCGTTGTTTTTTCACGTAAATCAAATTTTAGTTGATGTTGTAATATACAAATCAGTTTTCGGAAAAAAGACAATTATTTTTACAAGTTAATATTCCATTGTTCTGTTTTAGAAGTCGCGTTAAAATTTAAAATTCGTAAATTTGAATCTGCATTTTTTACTCTTATCAGATCAAAGTGAGCGAGGCTTTATTTTTTTTTTTAAATATCAGAAACAAGGAACATGACATTTCAGCAATGGGAATCTATACCCAATCCTATAAGTACGCGTCTTAACTAAGTGAAGTTGCATTACCTTTTGATTTTATTTATTACTCAAGCTGTATATGTATATACACAATCCGGCGGTTCTGGCGTCACGCCGTTGCGGCGGCGCTGCTGACCACAGAGCGGATACGCGCACAATTTACCTCGAGCGAATATTGTTTTTGCGAATGCGCAGTGACCTCACCTGGTGTGGGCAAACGCGGGCATGTTTGTAAAGGGGCGTGTTGTCTTACATGGCACATTTACATGTGTGTCATCCTGACTAGCTCTTATGCCCGTGAAATGCAGCATACGCGTAACCTGGACATTCCAGGTTTCGAGTATGCCTATACTTATGTCAATAATAAGTCCGACCACAGCCACCTGTGAGGTAAACTTGGGCCGAGTTAACCCGGAAGGAATGCAACCTCTCCAGTTGGCCACAAGTGCCCACACGTAACAACAGAGCGGCGCCACCGAGTTCTTGAGACTTGGTCTCGCCGCCATCGCCTCGTGGCGTTTTCTGCCGAACGACCGCAGCTCGGAGTCCAAAGGTATACAGCGGCGCAGCGAGCCTACGGAGAGAACGCAGGGGAAGGGGGAGAGCTAAACATCGAGGCCTTCGCTTTCTGGGGATGTAAGAGAAAAGAGGTACAGTTGAGTACCGAAGAAGATGCGGATGTGTCGAATACGCGAAACCCCCGAAAGGAATAATGGCAGTCAAGAAACACGGAAAGAAGACCGGCTGGGAACACCTGTTGACACCTGCGAGTCAGCAGCCAACGACGGGACCCCTCATCGCCTGCACATCCTTCGAGGCAACGAATGCAATCGTGAGTGAGCACACCGACGAACATATGAATAAAATATAATGTTCAAAACAGCAGCCTGGTTTGTGTGCTCCGAATTCCTAAACTCAGGGTGAACCCACAGAACCAGTTATCGGTTACACAACGCCATGATTCCACGGACTCAATCAAGCAGAACCAAAGGTGCATCGTCATGGCACTCGTCGCCTTCGTGCATTTGCTCCTGCCGGCTAGACAAATCAAGCACAGAAAGGATCACTGTGCCTGATTGGTCTAGCCAGTGATTGCAAACTCGCGAAGACGACGAGCGCCATGACAGTACTCTTATTTATTGACTTCATCGAATCGTAATGTTTCAGATTAATGCCGCAGTCGGCATTAATCTTAAACTGCTCGGCATTGTTTTCAACGATCAAACTCCAAACACCCCTACACCCCTGGCGGCATCATGGGGTGTACCTTCATTACTTAACCCCTTTCTTGCACCCTCCTAACACCTTTCTTACACCCTTTCATTATTTAAAGGTGTAAATAGGGTGTTTAAGTCGTGTGGATACCCTTCTAACACCCTTCATGTTGAAATCGAGGGTGTTAGAAGGGTGTTTTGGGTACCATTACGCCTTTAAGGGTGTAAAAAAGTTTACTGTGTAGTGTGGGTCCGGTAATCCACCGGAGACGGCCATCTTACCCAGCGTTCGTAGCGCTGCTGGCACTGCTCCGGAACTTCGCTGTTTCTAGCGCTTCGTTTGCTCGTTTGATAAAATTAGTAATAAAAACATCAATGCAACCGAAATGTTCTTCATGTTTGGACTAGAATACGCAATTACAGGCGGCCTTCGCTGCCGCTGAAGCTCAATCTCCACAACATTTATTAAACAACGCGCGCGACGTGCTCGAAAAACGAAACCGAAAGAAGGTGAGTCGCGAGGGCGAAAGCTTTCTCCCATCTGCCTGGAGAAGGAGAAAAACGTTTCGTTCCTCCCTTTTTCTCGTGTCCGCTTGGGGGTGCGTCAGTAGAAGGGAGGAAGACGCGCGTTGCTACCTTTTCCTCCATTTTTTTCTTAGAGTGTGTTATCCATTTCCGACAGCAGGCCCGGCCCGACGCCAATTTTCACGGGCCCGCTGAGGCCCGCTCTATTTTCGCCCAGTAGGAAAAGCTCACAAATTGCGCGGCATAGCAGCTCGCTTACTACTGTTACACATATTGACTACGGTACCCGATAGTGAATGCAGTGATCATCCTTTTTTTTCTGCAATTATTAGTCATACAAATCTGCGGGCCGAGCCAGCTCGTTAAAAAAAAAATCAATTCCCACCGTCCTTCTCGACGGAAAATAAAAATGGCAAGCAACAGTAAACAAAACCATGCGCCAAAGTTGAAAGGGAAGGGGAGCGTCGCTGCGGTTTTGAACAAAGGATGGTAAAGTTCTAAATTGCCCACTTCCGCAGTGTACAACCGAAAAAAAAAATCTACATAAAATACCGCCGTCTCTTGCTGTGGTCTGCGAGAAATTGCTTAGGGAAAGCCTCGCCCACATTATGGATGCACGCACTTGTACGTATACAGATGGTTTATGCTTGCGAAGGTGCACATCGTGTATGCATGTGTGTTTGCGTGTTGACGGGGAGGAGCAAGTGTACGACGGTGGCGCCGCCGGCAACGAGAGTGAATGCCGCGGAACTTGTTTTCTGGAAGAGCATTCGGTGCATGCACACCGACATATACAAAAACATATACAAACACACAAACATGCCTTCAGAATTTGCGTCTCCCGTACTCTGGTCTCCCCCAACACTGCCAACAAGATTTAAAAACATTGCTTCTGCTAAAAGGAAGGAAAAAGTGTTGGTCGGCTTCGCCAGTCCTGACCCGCCTTGTAGGCTTGAATGCAGGGCAAGCGCCCGGCCCGGGCCCTTCTGAATGTAGCCGTGAACCCCGAGCAGAGACCGCGGGCTGGCACGGCCCGCGGTTTGCGGGCCGGCCCGTAAACATGCAGACCTCTAATCCCGACGGTCACGAAGCACGCAGAACCAAGCGTTGAAACAATGCGTCATACTCTTACGCGAGAGACTCCCTGCGGGGTTCGGCAAACAAAGCTGGACTGAGCGTAATTGCGCGCAATCCGATGATGCAGCACGGCAGCGACCGGAGGCATGGCGCGGCGCGCCTTTCATCTCGACCCCGCGGCGCCGTGATAGATGCCGCTGTGGCCGTGTTGCGTGAGTGGTCAAGCAAGCAGCGGGCACTCCGGAGGCGTGCTCCCGCGTCGGTGGCTTCCCTTCGCGACCGGAGAGATCGCAACTCAGCGGATTATGGACACACGACCGGTCGGCTAAGGGGAACACACGACAGAGGACGACGACGATTACATAGCGCGTTCCGATCAGCCCTTTCTAAGCTGACAGTGCGTACAGCACAATTTACGAGTTCTCGGAGCTTCCTGCTTTCAAATGTGACTCTATACATGGATTGGACATGACGTCATCTTACCGTGCTGACTGTCACTTCTACTTATTCACTAAAAAAAAAAACTTGCGTAGTACACAATTTTGTAACTACATAAATACCGTCACCCGTTACTCCATCAACATGTAACGAAAACGCGTTAGCGTTCCTTCCCTCGGGAAGTGAAACAGCTTTTACCGACCGAAAAAAACAACTAGATGGATGTGACGCGTTACGTAGAAGCCTGTGTACAACACGGAGAATAGAAGGGTAGGAGAGGGCATGGCGTAAGCCGCGTAGCCTCCACAAGCCATGCTCCCTTGACGCCTCGCCTCTTTCGCATCTTCCTCCTTACTCTCCTCACTTATCAGCCCACCATGACCAAATTACCTGACTGTAGCTAGCCTTCGTCTAGCCTTTGATCTGATAAAACCTACCGGACGGAGCGCGCGCAAGCCTTCAACGAATCCTCCTACAATCAACCATTCATCTCGCACGTGACATACCACGCGCACCAATCGCCAGAGAGAACTGCGGTCTCTCTGGGCACAATATCGTTTAAACTTTTTATGGCTAAGCTTCACCAATATTACAACGTGCCCACTCCTAGTACTTCTAACCT